AGCCTGTCTTCCTCACTCTTGCATCCCCGGTGCCTGGCTCACAGTAGGCCCTCAGTGAGCATCTGTTAGATTGAAATGAAGTTCAAGTCACCAGAGTTCAACTCAAACCCCCCTACTCAGCCTACGCAATATCCAGTAGGCCTCTGAGACCTGTCATTTATTCCTGGAGGTCTCCCCTGGTTTTTGTCACAACCCCACCCCCTCCCCCCACCCAGGGCTCTGCTTTCTTGGCCCATGAAGCATCCAGCAGCCGTCTGCCCTGTGGACCAGAGCTCTCTTGTTCAGCCCCTCGACTTCAAACCCATGCTCCTACCCCATTTTGCAGTGTCCATAGTCGTTTACTTTTTACAAAGGGATTTTTACATCTATTATTTCATTGAATCCTCCCATTAGCCCTATTTTGAAGCCCTGTTTTATAAATAAAAAACTAAGTTTCGATAAAGTTAAGTCATTTGCCAAAGCCCCACTGCTAGTGAATGATGTAGCTTGGTCATAGTTCTTTGGGCGGATATGGGTTCAAATCCACTACTAACCATGTTGACTTGAGCAAATTGTTCATTCATCCATCCATTCATTTACTTATTCAAAAACCATTTGTTGACTCTGTGAGGCACTGTATTGGTGCTAGGAACATAGAGGTGAAAAGGGAATACAGACATTGTTCTCTAGGAATAACTGAGGCTCCATTTCCCCATCTGTCAAAAGGAGAATAATATGTCTCTAGCTCAAATGAATGTTTACTCAGAGATTGAAATAAAACAACACATATACAATTATATATTTAGCATATATGTAGATACAGGATGATAGTTTTTACCAACAGACTAGGCAAATCTTCAGGACACCCATGATACTTCCAGATGCCAAATGGGCAGATTATCAATAGGCCCTGGTACAACATAGCCTCTTCCTAGTACATGTAAGTCTAGAGGTGTTTGCTAAGCACTGGTCAGGGGCTTTCCCCTATGCTAAACAATGACGGGTTTCTCCCAAAGTGTAAGACAGGATCAGGAACATGTGCCAGCTATCTATGGGTTCCAGGTAAATGTCTGACGTCCCAGCAAGTGCTCTCAGAGGTGATGCATGTTAGGATGTAGACCTGAGTGATTTTAAACTCATCAGCTTTCAAGACAGATAAATCTGGGTCTGAGTTCCAGTCCTGCCATTCGCTAGCTAGTGACTCTGAACAAGCTCCTTACCTGAGCTGCATCAAGTGAAAAACAGGTGTAATAATAGTATCTTGTAAGATTGCTGAGAAAATCAATTGAGGTCGTCATGTGTACCAAATGCTTGAAACAGAGCCTAAGACCTAGTAAGAACTCAGTAAATAGCCCCTATAGTAAGTTCTTCTATAGCACAAGTCTTGGGGGTTCTCACTTGCCTGAAAGATACATGTGTCTTCTAGAACATCCAATGCAGTCAAGGATGTATTGGATGGAGATGCAGAAACAGTCCACACCAGTTCCTACCCCTGCAAATCTCTCTCTTGTAGGGCTCCGCTCCAAGGAGTCCAGCTGGGTGCATCTGGCTGGGGAGATTAAATTATTTTTGAATTCCTAACTGAATGTTCTTTTAATGGAAACTTAATGACAGGCATTGAAATAGATTTCCTCCATAACCCCTCCTCCCAAGGCTCCCTCCCCCCCCCCCCCCCCACAAGGCTGTGTTGCGCAGTTCCCGATAACCTTTATTCCCTACCCCTGGACTTTTATCTCCCCAGTGACAAACAGCCCTTGCTGGACAGAAAGAGGAAATTCCAGTCATTGTTCTCAAACTTCTGGCTTCCAAAATAAAATGCTCTATCTCCCCTGTCAAGCTTTGATTGACACATACTTCCTGTAATGGCAGACAACAACGGCCCAGGGGCAGGGCCAGGGGCTTATTTGCATTCTTTGCTTCAGAGGTTTTCAGAACGTTTGTTCTAAATAGGGGAAGATTCCCCATGCTAGCCACAGAATCACCCTGTTGAGGACCTATCTCCCATTTTATAAAAAAATCTCCAAGGAAGGCTCCCCCTCAACTGTCCACACAACCCAGCATGGAAGTTCTTTACTGGGCTGTTACACACCCATTAGCCATGAAAACAAACACTCTAATCATCTCACTTCCTAGATTTGGCAACCAAGCGAGGCTCTTTCCCTTACCCTTTCTCTCTTAAGGAATCAATTGTTAGACAGTTTTCCAAATCTTAACTCTAAATATTGGAGCTTGAGCCAAGCTAAGTCCAGAAAGATAAACCAGGATCACACTCTCAAAGTCGAAATCCCCATAGCAACAGAGATAAGTTAGGCAGTTCAAGGGGAACCAGTACCAAGGGAAACTTTGAATGTGATAGTGCATCATGGGATGCAGTTTTTCTTGAATAAGACATGTTGAAGTCCTTTTAAAACGGGTGAATCAGTAAATGTAACAACGTGGCACACCTATAGCAACAGCAGTACTGATGTAGTCAGGTGTCACTGGGAACAATAGTACCACATTGCAATAGAAAGCCTGCCTTCAGCACTGGCATTAACCGATAGGCAGGTTGGCCTTCTGGAACCTTCTGTTTCCCATTTATTTTCTTTACTCATTGAACTTCTATACTCACTGAACCTCCTCTCTCCAAATGTCCAGGGTTCTTATGCTGCTTTGGGGTTCCAGCTACCCCTTAGAACTATCAACAATTACCTGCAGGGCCTCACTTCCTAAGGGTTTTTGTGGATGTAGTTAATGGCTGATAGAGAGTCAATGGGAATTTACATTTAAAAGGAGACTTCAGTGGCAGAATGCCTTAATCATTATAAAAGAATATTTGGAAGTAGAGAAGCTTCCCCCAAATAACCCAGAAACAAATGCCGGTCACAAAGATTCCAATAGTTGTTCAGCACTAATCAAAAGGAACATATTGTTTATGATCATTTCACTTCCAGCAGCCCCCAAGCATGCTGCTAATGAGAAGAACACACCAAAAGGCATGTGTTCTGATGTGAAGGACCCAGGTCCATGTATTCTCCCCCCCCACCCCCATTGATAAAGGGACTACAGAGTCATAAACTCTCATAATAATGGGCCAGCAGAGAAGTCTAGCTCCCTGAACCTTGAGAACCTGATTTCCTTTAACTTTGTCAGTAGAATAAATTGCAATGCCAACACATGTACGAGCATAGAGTCATCTCCCATGTGGGCCAGCTGTGTCCACTATTAATGCCACTGACTAAGTGTGCAACCCTGAATTCATCAGACTACGCAGCCAGTCTGGGTCAGAAGGACCAGGCTGTGTGGAAGGATCTGTACAAACTCAACCCCGGGCATGGGCAAACAAAGCCGTCCCTACTGACAACTGCCGGCAGCTGCTGCTCTATGTGCCAAGACTCACACTGGAGTGATTTGATGGAGCTGCACAGGAAGGGGCGTGTCTGTAGCTGAGGCCATTTTCCTCTGGGGAAGCTGGAATCAAGACAACATATGGGTCCTACTTGCCATCTTCCCACCCCTCCCACTGCTCCCAGAAGAAAGTCCATCCTCAGCAAGAGAATTTCCACCAGTTGGTCTGTCGCAATTGATACGCAAAAACTGACACTTTTGGAAAGTATGTGCACAGTTTCAGTTTAATATATTAATCAACATACTGAAAACCATTTTGATTCCTAAGCAGCTTTGAGTACCATCCTTTCCAGAATACATTTAAAATAACATAAGTGGGGAACTGAGCAAGATAGTCACAGTAAAAACCTTCTTTTAAAGATCAGTCCTTATATTATGCTGGTCCCTTTTAGGAAGATGTGGTATTGGCCCTCAGAAAAAGGAAGGCCTTGCACTTTCCTCACTGTGGGGCCAAATCCCATTCCTTTTCCTTTCACACATCTCCTTTAGAAACATATAAAGTGGGAAACATTTTCCACCCCAGGCAGAAAAACACAAGAAACATTTTTTTTCAGAAGCATTAGAGGTACCTTCCCTTCTAAACTGACTTTGTACCTTCAAACTCCTCAGTGCTTTCTTGGAAGATCAGGAGATAGTCTTTTAACAGATTTGTAGCCCCTTATCCCATCTAATACAAATTGGAAGACATATCGCCACTATTTTCAAGTCAAGCATTCTTTCTTGCAGGAAATTGTTCATTGAGATGCTGAAATGGTGATTTAGCTTCTGTTTAAGTATACCACATGAAATCACTTGGACCAAAACCCAACTTAGGTGGCAGTGGGTGTACACACCAAGAAGCGGGTTGGGCTCATTGCTCCTGTCCACACTGGGTACAGAGAGACACAGAGTCCATAGATTGAGCCTCCCCTTGCTGCTTCAGAAACACAGTGTGACCCAGACTGAATGGAAGCTCCAACAACCAGGGCTCGAATAGGTCAGAGCCTCACAGGCATTCTTTGTGGTACCACCTTTTCTTATTGTCTTTGATTGGTTCATCTCCCCCCAACTCAGGAGACTTTTCCTTTCATAACAGCCAATGTTAAAATAAAAATGGCTTTTTTTAATCAGTAGAATCAAAATGAGAATTTGGTTTTTCCTTGATCCTATGTAAAGCTCATAACTTCTTCAAAGAGACTCTTAAAACAAACTCATTTGGCCTGTCCATGAGACTTCTGATGATTTTGTCTGTTCCTATCAACATTGCATGATTTCCCATAATCATATTCAAGATTCCAAGTGAGCCCCCACAACTTCCATATTCCAAATTTTATTAATACATTTCATGTTCTTTTTTTTTTTTTAAGCTGAGCCATCCTGCCACCTGTTGGCAGCTCAGTGGCAGCTCAGCTCGGGCTGGGAGTCAAACTGCTGTTGCTCAGAGCTCAAACTCTTGAGCGAGCTCTTAACCAACTGAGCCACTCGGCCGGCCCCAAGACATTTCATGTTCTGATGCACTTTCCTTGTAGAGCCATTTCTCTTGTAGGATCATGGTAACGGAGTTCAGAGGCATTGTGCTGGTGGACTTGGAAGGCTTTAGTCCTACTTCCATATCCCCAAATTGTTGATTGCTTCTTAATGCTTCTAGTCACTAGTTATCTTTGAAACTTTTACTCATGTTGAAAAGCCACTGTTACATTTTCGTGTCATCTGTCTCATTGACTTCTGACAAGACAAAGGTGGGGTTGTCATAGCCTCTCTTCATCTTGGCTCTAGCATCTCTCTCATTATAAAGGCACATGGCACAGTGAGGGGTATCCACTTCAACTGTCTTGCTAAAGTTATGGAAATCCACTCGGTATTTCCCTTCCTTGGTCTTGGATACTATGGGAGCAAAACGGTAGCCCCAAAGCACCTCTTCTGGGACATAGGATGTCCGAACTTGGCAGGTAGCACTGGTTGATTCTACTGTGCCATCTAAGAACACCACTAATTCAAAGTCCTGCTGGGAAAGGGTTTCTGCTGCCATGTGGAAGAAGGGGCTGTTGTGATCTATAACATGGTAAATTGTCAGTGGAGAGATGAAAAATAAATTTTCATTCCCAGCATCAACTACAAAGTTGATATTGATCTGGTCCAAAATAATGGTCTCTCCTTCAGGAGTGACGGTGGTCTTCAGAAGCTTGCCATAGATGTGACTGCCAATGAGGAGGCTCTTCCTAAGATTAGCCACTCGGATTAGGAGGCAAAGCTTCCCACCCCGCTTACTGATCACTGCATTCTTGCTGAATGTAATGGTCTTGGCTCGTTTTTTGGGTCTGGAGATCTTGGCTAAAATGGCACCACACATGAAAGAATTAATAATGACTCCAAGTATAGACTGGAAGATAAGCAGGAAAATGGCAGTGGCACATTGTTCTGTTACGCACCTGAATCCATATCCAATGGTCACTTGCGTTTCCAGAGAAAACAGAAAAGCTGAGGTCAGGCCATTGATGTTCTCCACACAAGGGGTGTGGTTGACAGAAGGATGGAACTCAGGGAGATCTTTGTGAATGTAGGCTACGGCGTACCACAGGAGACCGAAGAGGAACCAACTCCCCAAGAAGGTTGTGATGAAGATGGTCATCTTGTATCTCCATTTGAGGTCAAGCACGGTTGTCCAAATGTCCACAAAGAATATAAACCTCGACTGTGCCCCCACATTGCCAAATTCGATGTTGCACCTTCCATCTTTGGAAACCAGCCTTGCTCTTTGTCGAGAATGCCCAAAAAAGCGAGTGACGAACCATTTCCGAAGATGTTTGAACATTCTTTCTGTCACCACCTTTATCTGAAAACACATCAAAGAAAAACAAAACAAAACAAAAATTATGTTTATAGCAGCAGTGACTTAGGTGACTCACATAAAGAGCTAACTATGTACGAAAAGATCATTCCAAACAATCTGGGTTACTGATGATTTGGGCAAGCTGACAAGTTTATTCTGGATACCGCAATGCTATTTTCAATAGAAACTTTCCACTAGAAGATCGTATTGTTTAAATATAAAGAGGAAAAATAATTAATTACAAAGAGATAGAAATCTTAGGAACCTAAGACAGCATATATTCAAGTGTGTGCAACCTTAGTCAGTTGCACACAACCTTAAAAATGTTTGTAATAACCATTGTGATCTGTACTATGACTTATTTGAATCATTCTTTAAATGAACTCTCCTTTTTCTTTAATAAATTTAGCCTTATGTTAAGCAAAAATATCTGTGAAAGCAGAAGCTTGATGCACTATTTACATTTTTTTGTAATAGATGAAAATAAATAACTATGAAAAAACCCCAGCTCATCAATATACTACCTAAAGCATCTTGTGTACTGCTATTGGTACTCACAAATCAAGAGAAATCCTGATCCAATTCAATTCCCTCATTTATTAAATGAAGAAACTGAGAGTCGGAAAATTCTAACGACATATCCAAAGTCATGTACCTAACCAGGGGCAGGATGACAACTAGAGTGTAAGGTTCCCTGCTTTTAGTCAGAGGAACCCCTACCACATTGCAACTCAGTTATGAAATTTTGTGTTCTAACGTGAAATTTCCCTGAAACATTTTAAGAAATTATTAGTCAACTTCCTTTTCAACAGAGTTCTTCAATACTTTTGATCCAGTCCTACCATATGATCTCAGAAGTTTTCTCAGTGGACCTACAAGCCTGTTCTTACTCTTTCTCTCCATGGTATGCCAAGATCCTTCCCCATTCCCAATTTGTATGATGGTCACCATCAATATCTCACACTCCCTTCCCTGTCCCCAAGCTGAAGGACTGGGGAGTTCTGATTAAATAATACTCCATAGTGGTAGAACCATGTTTTATTGAATCCTCCATTCCAGCTGCTGGCACAGTCTATGGGCACTTAGTATTTATTCAAAAAACATAAATGGAATAATTCAGTGAATGAATTAAGCTCTTCAAACTACTATCTACCTAATTGTTTCTTACTAATGACATTATTTTGACTTCCATTTTACAGCAAAAAAAGCGAAGGTTTTTTTTCCCCCAAACAGCCAACAATGATGAAACCCAGGTGCGATAAACATGAGACTACCACCTCCCCTAGGTGTGTCCACCCCCACTCCAAGGTGTGCCCATCACAGTTAGCATGTCTTCGTGGTATTTTTAATTAAATGCAAATATGTTTCTAAAATAGATTTCAAAATCCCCCTTCAAAAATGTGTTTATTCATACAAACTAGGAAGCGAAACCAACTTAGTGAAAAATTTTAAACAAAACTGATATTCCACAGTGTCTTACTCATGGTTTTAAACCAGGTGAAGACACAAGATGCCAACACCAAGTAGAAGTGGTGAAGAGAAAACCACAGTTGTGGTGATTTGAAAATTTGAAGACAGGTTCTAGAGATATAAAAAAAAAAAAAAAGAAAATGCTACCAGGAGAACAAACAGCAGTGTACACATTCAGAGGTCCTGCCCTCATTCCACCCAACCCTCATTGACCTCAAGTCCCCAGAGAGTATTAGAGGATGGTCTTAAGTGAGGATAATGGAGGAAGAGTCTCCTCCTTGCCCAATATCTCCCCCTTTTCTCTGCACACACATCCTTTAACCTTGCTTACACTCACTGGGACTTGCTCCCCTTCCCAGGTTCATGGAAGCTCATACTGTTGAAAAAATTCTTCATAGAGTGGACTTCACCTAAAATAATAAATTCCAAAGCCAACACTTATCAATTGAATGTACATGCTCTTTGTCATACATTATAATTCCAGAGATAGCACCCAATAAATACACCAATTTCTGAGTTTTTCTTTCCCACTATTCTTCTTCTCCAGTCTCTCTTAAATTTATTTCACTTTTGAAGATAAAGAATATTTCTGTAGAGTGAATAAGTACCCCCTGACTTATCTCTGGGTAAGTTTGGGTTTTCATGCCTACATTACTATTAAAATGTTATCTGCTGGCCTTGTAAAGAGCTGAAGCAAAAGCAACCAGCTTATAATGCTTTCCCCAGATGGTCTGTACTTACCAACATCCTAAAAACATTCCGACTTGAAGCATCCATGTCTGGGAAAAGCAAGGAACTGTACGCGGGCTGATTTTAGACCCAGCTTAATATATTTTAGTCTTTGGTCAGTGGACTGATGCTAATTTTTATTAGCTTGAAAACACTTCATTGGGTAGTGGAGTTGTGTGGTTTAAACCAAAGCAATTGGTTGTTTTCAGACCAAGCCCCAACCTGGGTATGTATTTTATCTTTTCAAACTTCACGTGGCTTGAATACCGTCATGCTAAGACATGACACCACCAGCTGAGGTCCCTGGGCAGCAGGCACAGATTGTATTCCAGTATTTCTCTCCTCTCCTTGCCACGCTCTATGGCTCTCTTGCTGTTTCTCCTAGGTTGTGCCTAATAACTTTTCACCAGAAACAATTAGTTATCATCAATCTCCCAGCCTAGTTTCTGAAACACACTGAGATAGTGAGATTTCCAAGTGTTCACAAAGACACAGGGAAGTATATAGACATAGGTAAATACATATTTGTAGATGAAAATAAGATCACACCAGGAAGAAACAAGATACCTTGTTAATCTCTCTATATAACAGTCCCTGTTACATAAGAAACTGAGATGTAAAAGCAGCCTTTATTGTTGGATTTATTTTATAAAATCTGGCATTCACTGAAGGTACTTTTCACATGTACTGGATTAGCCAATCCTGCTGACTTATTTATTCAAAGAGTGAGAAGAATTACACCTAGAGAATGCAAGATTACAGGATAAATTCATCCTCTGACCAAACCCATTATTCACACAGCAGATCCATTATACACAGCAGATATCTTACTTTGCTTAGATAATGGCATTTACTCCAACCACAGACAGAGCCAATATATATTCTTCTGAACTACTGGGTGATTCGAGATTGGCCCTGGTGCCTGGGTTATGTAACATGCACAGTTTTTAGGTTGCTTCTTATTGAAATCAGTAAATCTTAATAGCAAGCAAAAGGCTGTATGTTAGCTAATATTTACCAAGGTTTTCTTAGTAGCCTGGCAAAGCATGTGAATTATTCAAGAATTCAACATTCTTGTTCTATAAACTTTTTGTTTCTTTCTCAGGAAATAAACTTTTTGTAAACTTTCCAAATATTGAATATATACTTATTGTGTAGGATTTCACAGATAAATAGAACTCTGTTCCTGTTCTCAACAAGCTCACAGTTGAATGAGGAAGTGAACTCAGTAAATCAACAATTACAATGTGGTGTGGTTGTATAATGCCCAAAGGCACATCTTCTACAAAAGACCCATTAGATGGGTACCTACCCTCAGCCAAAACACTGCATCTGACAGAAAACTCATTGTCTTTATGTGTACATTAATGTAGCTATCATTATTCAACGCTGATGTGTTGATGCTAGTATGTGTGCCAGGCACTGTGGGAGGCATCAGGGAAGCAGCTGTTCACCAAATGGACGCAGTCCTTGTCATAGTGAGGAAGCTTCCAATTGAGCATGGGGGTGGGAGATGCAAATGAGCTGAAAAATAATCAAATGCTGCATGATAGGGCCAGGATAGGAAACTGAGAGTGCTCCAAAGAGGACCTCATCTGAAGGCCAGAGAAGAACCCCTGAGGCCAAGGCGTAAACATGGCGTTAGAGTCACACCTAATAGGGCCTCTATAAATATTTGTTGACCGATGATAAATTAATCAATGTATGCATTAAATCAATGAGTTTGTTGTGATTTATATGGCTCTCCTTCTAATAGGGATATTTTAGAAAAGACATTCCTGTGCATGTAGTGCCAACCACACTGTACTACTATGTATGTGATGAAGGCAGGGGCAACAGAAGAAAGAGCATGAATGCGCTGAATGAAGTGCTGGGGAAATAGATAACAGAGTGCTGGGGCTTGGTGAGCTGAAAAGGTAAGCAAGGGCCATGGCCTTCAGGGCTAGGTGTGCCATGTGAGGTCATTTTGTTGTAGACCTAGAAGAGAGACTGGTAGAAAATACACTGGTCTAGTACTGCTTCAGGGACAACTCACTAAAATTCTAAATAAGTCTGAAGTCTCCTTCATTTAACAGCCTTTCAAATTCTTGAAAACAAATATACTTTCTTCCAGAATCTCCTTTGGCCATAAAAATGCATGCTTTATTTGCATGCAAAACCCATGTCCACCAAACCCTCTCCATTTTTAAGTGAGGTGTGTACAGTTTGTGCTTGTTGATGATATTTTAAAAAACAGTACAGAGGCTGTTCTTTTGCAGGCATCCATGCAAGAATACACCACTATGAATTTGGAGTTTCCTGTAATACCACACTGCTCCTTCTCACCCCAGCACCGTCAGCAGCCACTATATCAGAGAGAAGAGGGCAAAGAGACATTGCTTTTATTATCTCTTCTTTGGAATTATAAAGGCTATCATTTCTCCATATAGATAAAAATACATTTACTATCATCTGCCTTTTAGTCAAACCTCTCACAGCTCAGACACAGCCTTAGGTCCCTTCGTGATGTTTCTGAGAGTCAATATTCTATGTTAGAGGTAGAAAATATAAGTTACGGGGCCGGAGAGCAGAAGTCAAAATATTTTCTGTAGTACCTTTGCAATGGTGGTAGAGAAGAAATTCAAGTTTCCATGAACATATACTGCTTTGTTTCAGAACAATCAATCGAATCAACACACATTTCTTAGGGACTTACCATAGCGAGGCATGAAATGAGATTATGGGCCATGGTCTCTGCCTTCTTAACCAATATAATCAAGCACACACTCTATTTATTGACCATCTCCTATGTACTGAGTGCTAGGACAGGAAACCCAAAAGGTAACTGCCCCTGCTCTCAAGTTGCTCCCAGGTGAGTAATTCAACAATCACAATACAGCAGTTTTGCTGCCCTGAAAGGGTTGAGAACAGGATTTTAAAGCAGCCACCAAAGAGACCCAACAGGCTGGGTGTCAAGCTTATATTCTTCAATACACCTTTGCTAAGCGCCTAACTAGGAGGACTTCCTGTTTTCTATGAAAATGGTCTCAAGCTATTGGAGAATAGCCACCCAGCTGGATCTGCAAACACTCAGAGCCTGAGGAGCATCAAGTCATCTAGCTCCCTGGATCACCCCTTTCATGTCTGGAACCTATTGTAGACAGAAAGCATCATTTGTCATTTGTTCAGTAATTCTGAGAGAAGTTATTTCTGCTGTCTTCAGCACTATCAGGTAGCTCGCTTGGGGTCAGCATGGGTTCTTAAATAGAACTTGGCAAGGCTGGTGGAAACAATTTTTTCTGGCCTCATGAGCATGTAAAGGGGCATCTGAACCTCAGGACTCTTCCAGGCTAGATTGGGGAATGCACTTTAGGGCTATCCTACCTTTCCCTTGGGGTGAGTGCCCACAAAGGCCCTCTCTACTCTGAAGCCCCAAATCTGCTTGTATCCAGGGTGAGAATGCTGCACGAGCCTTCCTGGGTGCCTGGCTCCTTCCAGAGAAGAGAGTTTGGGAACAACAGCCAGGGAATCGCAAGGCCTGTGGGTCTTGGTGCTCTCATAATGCTCACCGTGTTCTGTAGGCATCTGTGGCCCAGTAGCATCATCTGAATAACTACAGAGGTGTGCCATGCAGGGGGACCAAGAGAGGATGGGCGTTCTGGTCCAAAATGTTCATGGCACAGGTCACAGCCAAAGGCAGCATGGCAGAGTGGAAGGAACTCCATCGTGCGTAAGCCCAGACATGGATCTGAACAACAACTGTGTCACTTAATGGCCAGGTGACCTGAACAAGCCACTTAGCCTTACCGAGCCTCAGTTTCCATACCTGTGAAATGGTTGTAATAATATATTTTCAAAGACTGTAGTTTAAAGTATGTTTTAAATGCAATAGCATATGTAAAGTTCTTAAAACACAGCACTCATGCAATAAATAGCAGCAACTGCAATTCATTCGCAAATTGAAACTTGGGCAGCAGTTTAACCAGGCATCGCTGACCCAGGCTATTTGGGGTCTCATATGTAGAGTCTAATGGGCTGTGTTGGAGATGATAGCCAAATGAAGAAAAAGGCTTCTAAGAGACATGGGCCACGGTTCTGAAATTCATCAACGTCTATGAACTGTACTGGCAGCAGAGACCATCCTCGCAATGTGGAATAGAAGACCTGGGAACGGCAAACGTGTTTTGTAAAGGATTTGTCTATAATCAGGGCAGAAGCCTTATCTTGAAAGGTGAGAAAGGGGAGAGAATTATCGCTGGCAAGGCTGAACAGAGGCACTGTACCCAGGGGCAATGGCTGTCCTTCTCTTACCATGCACATTAACTAGGATTTGATGGCATAACTGACAAAATACATATGCCCACTGAAAAGGAGAAAAGTGGCCTGACATCAGAGAGCTGGCCTGGCCCTAAGTCTTGGTGTTCTCCGGTCGAACACAATTTCACAGAACATCAATATCAGACAAGACCACTCCATAATCATGTCTGAACAGACAAATACATGAACATTCCAAACCACAAAAACAAGCAAATATCCACCTTCCCTGTCTGTGATGAATGACCACTGCCTCTTCACAAATAACAGCTATAGCCTCACACCAGGCTTCCCTGCTTCTAGATAAAATTTATTACCTACTTAATCATAGAATTTCCCCTACTTCCTGACATCGAACCCAGAGCAAAGTACTGTTTCCTTAAATATT